GTACTTTATACAGACTCAGATTTCCTGTTATCACAAGTTGATATCACTTCCCAATAATAACTACTAACGAAAAACTATAAGAAAATAAAAGATTAACATCAAAATAAATCAGTGTAAGATAAACTCAGGAGTATCGAGAAGAAAACTCAAACCATAAGTCACCGATTGAATTTGCATCCAGAAGGTCTGAGAACAACATGCATAATCTCAGAACAGATCCGAAAATTCTTCATGTCGATAAGCACAAAACCCCAAGAGTGATCCTTTCCTTTCTTCCTTTCCCGCAAAGGACACATACTCTCAAACTAAGTTCTGAATGTTGTACAGTTGAGAGATGCCTCCTATCAAGTGCCTGGAACAGCCACTATCAACAAACCGAAGTCTAATGATATGCCTCCATAGCTGTTCCGACACCGAGCGGGATCAGTTGGTCTTTGGAACCCAGTCCATTTTGAAACTGGGTTGACCTTTGTCATCTTTGCAAAGAATTCTCTCCCACGACATATCCTGCATATCACAAATAGAAGATGACGAAATATTAGAATCGTTAGAAGATTTGGGAGAGTGAGCCTTTGGAACCCATTTGTAGTTGGGTTTAACCCATTTCTTTTTCGATCTGATGGGTGGCTCAGTACTTGCTTTTGATCTTGACGTCAGCCGTTGATATGACTTTGACCTAACCGGTCTTTGTTTCAATGGAGCATCTCTTGGATTGGGCTTCTTGGCCGACATTCTCTTCTTGCCCTTGGGATTCAGATTCGTGGCCTTGTGGGTTTGATTCTTGGCTTTCAGCGCATTCCAATCGCCATTGTCTGAACGTGACCTTGAGGGGTTTCTTTTGGAAGGTCTCCCTCTTGGCACATTCTGCCATCCTTGTGCGTAGTAGGGAACGTATGCGCGATTTGGACAGTTTCGGGCAATGTGACCAGGTGTTCCACAGTGAAAACATGTTTTTTTCTTCATTGTCAAGTTGTTTCTTCCTGCCCCTGGTGGCGTATCTTTGCCTTGTCGTTGGTTGTTTCCACATGCACACTTACAACAGGCCCTATGTTTCACTGGAATTGGTGGTCTGTATTTCTCAACCGCAGGTTTGTTAGAAGTAACTGAGTTAGAAGTAGCAAATTTAGAGTTCAAGGGGTCGTTTGTTTGTTCAGTAGTTTCTCCTTGTTCTCATCCTCTACTGCTTTACCTGCGCATGAAGTAGAATCATTAGTATCTTTTATCTCAACACCCTCAGTTGCCTGTTCAGCAGCTGGTTTACCGTATACCATAATTGGTTCTCGGTCAATCTCTTCCTGAGTCAAGGGATTAACATAATACGAATGGTTAAATGGAGGAGGGACACTCTCATATCCTAAACCCTTGGTTTGATTATCTTTAAAACTTAATTGTTTTTCAACTAAGGACTCGACTGTCTTAATTGACGCAGTATAATTTTTGAAACTAACATCTGTTTTTCCACACTTAATTTTCAAAACGTCAAGTTCTTCAGTTACAGGAACAAGTTTTTTCTTAATGTGATCGTAACTTTCACACTTGTTGCTGTAATCTTCTTGTAATTTCCTAAAGTCCTTAGTCTTGGCCTCTAATTGAGCTTTCATAGGTTTCTGACATTTTCCTAAGAGTATAGCCTTCGTATTTGAGGTCCTCATTTTCTCTTTTTAATAAATTGATTTGATCTCGGAGAAATTTAATAGTAGTTTCACAAGATGGAGTACATGACTTAAAAACCGAGAAAGTCAACCTTAAAAGTCAAATTTAAAAAGTCAAACTTAAAAATCAAACTTGAAAAGTCAAACTTAAAAGTCAAACTCAAAAAGTCAAACTTAAAAGTCAAACCGAAAAGCTAAATTTGAAATTTTGAAAACTAAACGAAAAAGTCAAAGTTTAAAGTCAAAGGTCAAACTTGAAAGTCAAAGTCAAAATTTTAAGGTCAAAAGATAAAAATAAAATCAAAAAATAAAAACTAAAAATTTTAGGTTGAAAATGGAATTTTTAAAATAAAAAGAAATTGATTTTGGGGTTAAAAGTGTCAAAATTTTGAAAGTTGGAACTGAGAAGGAGGTGTTTTGAATTAAATTTCGAGGGATTGTCACAAAGGATCGTCTAGCCGAGTTGGGTAAGGCGTGGGGTTGATGAACTAGAGGTCCCGGGTTCGATCCCCGGCACCCTCCAATTCTGCTTTCCCTTTTTTTTATATGAAGCTGACGCGAGGACGAAGGTGTGAAGCCGGAAACGTTGCTGAGCCGAGAGCAAAGCTGCTGAGCCGTGAACCCGAGGCGAGACCGGAAACGTGTGTGAACCGAACACGTGCGAACCTCGGACCGAAAACGTCGGACCGAACACGTGACCGAGAACCTCGGACCGAATACTCCGATTCCGACCGAAAGCTCCTCGGAAATCGCTGGTATAAACCATATTTTTGACCCAACACTTCCAAGCTTCAAGGTTCTTGCACCAACTTCTACTTCTTCAAGAACACCAAAAAGGCACACAAATGAGCTCAACTCTTCTCACTTAAGATTTGCTAAAGGGTTAAAATCGCAGATGGGGGCTGATGCGAGAATGATAAATGATGCTATAATGGTGTTTATATATGCACCAAACCCTAAAAATTAGGGTTTGGAGTTTCTCCATGTACGTCCAGCGTAGGAGGTGTACGCCCAACGCACCAGGGTCCGCCCTAGTACGCTCAACGTACACAACGTACCCCCAACGTACTACCTAATACCAAAAATTACCAAAATGCCACTATGGGCCATTTGGTACTCTTTCTTATACTCAGGGACCAAAATGCAATATTTAATCATACATAGGGTTACATTTGAAAATACCTCAACGTCGGGATGTTACAATTTTACCAACTTGTATCGTTAAAAAACCACAATAAATTTAAACTTTTCAAAACAACCCAATTACTCAAAGAAGTGTTTATATAACCATTGTTTTCAAAACATTATTCAAAACAAAGTCTCCAAAGATCAAGAACATAAAAATCGGAATCTGTACGGTCACGAGTTCGTCTTGCCATGGTCCTCTGAAGTATCTAAAACCAAACTAAAACTATAAGCCAACACTTACTGAGTTTCCCCAAAGTACCACAATATAAGCATAACAAACAACAACATGCAAACATGAGCATCCAGCCTGACTGGACCGCCTCGCAGTTTCTAAAGCGTATCTAGACTGCTCCAGGAGTAGTCGGACAGCCTCGCAGGGCCTACAACCAATCCGAACGCTCTATAGGCCACCGGCCAGACTGGACCGCCTCGCAGGGCCTACAGCCTATACGGTCATCCTTGGGTGTCTTGGCCTACAACACAAAGCAGGACCGTCTCAACCCAAACCAACAAGTCGACTTATTCAACAAACAAACATGAACACAAAGACGGAAAATACAGATAACCAACCGGATCGCAACAGCATAACAATAAATAGTAACCAAGATATAAATCCAATGGGCCGGCCTTGGTTCCTTCGACCCGTAAGTATAGTGAGGAAAACTCACCTCAATGCCCAACATACTACCCTAATGCCCAAAACTACCAAGATGCCACTATGGGCCATTTTGTAGTATTTCTTATACTCAGGGGCCAAAATGCAATATTTAATCATACGTGGAGTTACAACTGAATATACCTCAAAAGTCAAAAAAATTTAAAGTTTTCAAAACAACCAAATTACTAAAAGAAGTGTTCACATGACCATTTTTTTCAAAACATTATTCAAAACAGAGTCTTCCGAGATCAACAACAAAAAAATCAGGATGTGTACAGTCATGCGTTCGCCTTGCCACAGTGCTATGAAGTACCTGAAACAAAATTAAATTTGTAATCTAACTCTTAGTGAGTTTCCCTAAAGTACCACCACATAAACATAACAAACAACAACATGAAAACATGTGCATCCAGCCTGACTGGATCGCCTTGCAGGGCCTCCAGCCTATATGGATTTCTCAACCAACAGTCGGCCTGAGTGGACCGCCTCTCAAGGCCTACAGCCTATCCGAACCGTTCAACGAGCTTTCAACCTGACTATACCACCTCGCAGGGCCTACAGTCTATCTGGTCGTTCCCGGGTGTCTTAGCCTACAACACAAAGCATGATTGCCTCAAACTAAACCAACATGTTGACATATGCAACTAAAATAGATTGAATTTACATTATTTGTCATCAGTTTTACATTTAGAGGAGTTAGAGAGTACATTGCTAAGTAATCTCAGCATTAGCTCCACATTTAGATTTAGTACAAACAGAACCTAAAACAGTTTTATCAACCGTGACATCAAAGTGATAACCCTATAATCTATCTTTTAAATCATCAATATCAATGATTACAATTAATACAAAAAAAAGGAAAGTAATAACTTACATAATCGTGATGGGTGGCCTTGTTAGCCCAACCACGGATTGGATTGCAATGCATGTTTTTCCAACCTTCTATCAGATTCTGTTCTTGTCGTGTTTCTTTCGCCTATAAAAAACCAAAAAATAAATTATTAGTACCGTTTTAGAGCTAGTAATAAATATCTAATATTACTAATAGGCTATTGAACTAGCATACTTCTTTATGTCATTTTGCAGAAAAAGACAAAGTGCCATAAAAATTATCATAAGGCAATTTCTCTCTGTTTCTAGAAGTTTGCTAGGACTTGACTACCCAAGTAGTATTTCAGAAATAAATCATATTGGTCAACAATAGGACTTACTGATATCGGGACATAAACTTATCATTTATGATATACCCTACATATTCTTGGATAATCACTAAAGTCTTCTTTTTGAGTGAAAGAAAGACTTATTATCTAATTTATGCATATATTGATCTATAAAGTATAAACTACAACAGGTCAAAAGACAGAGGGAGGGGCTTACCTTCAATTAAATTGTAATTCCTAGGGCATTTTGTAATTCATGAGATGCTTGAGAGAACTATTTACGCTTCTTTAACCAGTTTGACTTATTTTGGAATTCATGGTGGGCTTTCCATGTACACAGCTTCAATTCGGTAACTCGCTTATACTAAGTTGACACAAACAGAGGACCCTTAACAAAGGTAACTCTTGAAGTAAGTCATCAAGGACCTTATTTGATAAGTAAAATGTTCTCCAACTTTCTTTTTTCACAGCATAAATTGCTAAGAATGTTCTCAAATTTCCAGCTCCTTTGAATGCCTCGAACCTTTTGTAAACCATGTATCTCTCACAAACAAATGAGAAATGGCGGTGCTTTTCCAAAGCTTCCTTCCTAAATTCCCACTTCATCTCAATGTCTAACCTTGAAAAAAAATCTCCTGCCACAGATGTTGCCAAGTCATTCATGATATCATGCATCACAAACAATGATTTGTCATCAGGTGCATGTTGAAAAAATGATCTTGACAACAACTCTTCAAAACCTTCATGGCCCAAGCGTTCCATCGACTTGCTTATGGTTGATTGATGCAAAAACCCTTCTGCCATCCACAACAGAATCAACTCTTCCTTATCAAACACATAGTCTTTTGGGAACAAGGAACAGTATGCAAACAACTGCTTCAAAAGGGAAGAGAGATCATTGTAGCTTAGTTTAAGAGCCGGAACAATCTCATCTCCCTTACCTGACTCCCATATTTTATTATTCAACAAATCCTTCCATTCTTCCTCGTCTGTTTTTGTCCTCAACAACCTCCCAAGTGCGATCAAAGCCAATGGCAAACCGGCACATTTTTCGATAATACCTTCGCCATGTGGTTTAAGTGTTGGATGTGAATCGAAGTTACCTTCACCCAATGCATGCTGACAGAATAAAGACAGAGCACTGTTATGTGACAAAACGGAAAGGTTGTAAGGTTGCTTGTAACCGAGCTTGGTTAGCAACGACAGCTTCCGGGTCGTCATGATAATCTTACTTCCCGGTGCCCCTGCAAGAAATGGACGTGCTAGAATTTCCCAATCGGCATAGCTTTCACTCCAAACGTCATCAAGAACAAGAAGCAACCGTTTCTTTGAGATCTTCTCTTTTAAAGCTACTTGAAGCAGGTTTAAGTCCTTAAACTCTTGGTCTCCACCACCTACTGATTGGAAGATAATTTTGCTTATATTGAATCTATCAAACTCATCAGAAACACAAACCCACGCCTTGAGTTCGAAGTGATCCTTCTCTTGAATCTCGTCATACAAAAGTCTAGCTAGAGTGGTCTTACCTACCCCACCCATGCCAACTATGGCCACGATGCTAAAGTTTTTGTCGCTTGGTTCATCCTCCAGTAGCTTATGGAGCAATGCATCCTTATCACCTTCACGACCAATAATGCTAGATGCATCTACCAAAGAGGCCTGTAATCTTCTGTTCGTCTGTTTTGGGCTTTCACCTTTCACACTTAAACCAGGATTATCTTTTTCCTCTACCAGCTCTCGTAACTTAATGGTAAGATTAACTAACTTGTTATGCATCCTAGTATTTAGTGAGAAATTTGTGCAACATGTTGGAATTAGCTTTCTTACCAAGCTGGTGGAGGCTCCAAATTCCTCAGTCAACTCACGATGCATAGCTTCGGTTGCCAAATCATCAAGTAGGTCGTGTATGTCATAAGCCAAATGTTGGAGACCATTCAACCATCTTTTAACAGCTTTATTAGATATTTCCTTCTGAGAAGCATCATTAAGCAGATCTTGGATCTGGTCTAGTGACCTCTTCAATTTCTTGAGCTCAGAATCGACTCCCGTGGAGCGAGCGATCTTCTTCAAGTTTTCGGAGGCAAGTTTTTCAAAGACTACTGTCAATAATGCAGAAAGAACGATTTCAGCCATTGCTTTATTGTAAGAGCAGAGAATATAAAATAGAGATTTGGATGAAAGGATGCAGAGAGAGAATGTATCAATAATTATTTATTCTAGAGATGTTGATGAAATATATGTACAAGGAGAACAATCTGAATTATTGCTTATTGTGGAGATGTGGATGAAACAAATCCATACCACAATTTTGTGGCCCTCAAAGTTGCAAGTTGCAATTGTCCAGATACACAATATTGGAGTTTTTAACTAAAGGAAAGTAACTACAAATATATATTTACCAAATCATTTAATTTAAAAGTTTATTTACAAAAGATGTAAATGTTACTTTGACCCAATTTTTATACCAATAAATAAAAGAACAAGTTGACCGTTGTTTCTGCAATGGTCCCCACCTTTTCAGGGCCGGTCCAAGCAAAATCTGAGGTCCGGGGCAAATACAAAAAAGAGGCCCTTCATGTTAATACTAGCATTAGCATATGGATTTACTAAGTTTGCGAAGAATCATAGTAATGTTCTTTCACAGGATAAAACTCTTTAGAAAATATGTAGCCATATACATGTAAAACCCCTTTCAAAACACTTGCCAAGCATCTTCGCTTTTATTGATAAGTTGATTCAGATGTATCTATGTATATGACCTGTAACTTTTGCAAATAGCAAGAATACATAAAGACAAGTATGCCTATAATCGAATAACTTATTACGAATCTTCTTGCACTGTGCAACAAGATTAAAGAAATTAAATAGCTGTAATGAAAATAATAGAAGCAAAAGGTAAGGAAGCCGCATTAACGTAAATTACATCTTTTTTAAATTGCTACAGTACCTAAATTGATCTAGTCTTAAAGAGGCAAAAAAACAAACAAACGCAGACACCCTTGTTGGTGTAAATTTCATAACAAAATCCATAATACTGTTTTCGAATCCAAAACTTGTACCTTGGGGGAGAATTTCACCGACTTCAATTATAATTATATTTTTGTAATTTTTTTTTTAATAAACATTAGAACCTAAAATTCTTAATATAATTAATTAACTCAGACACATTATCAATCTCTATTTTTTCTGGCTTAACAAAAATGAATCCATGGAAAAAACTCCAAAATAACAATGAAGTTAATTGAATCAAATAACCCATCAAAAATCATAAATATCAGATAAATAATCCCAATACATTAAATAAAAAATTCACTAAAATCAAGAAAAGATGGAAACCAAGTACCATCACCATAACATGTGCTTCTTTCCAGGGCCTACCTAGGCTTCCTTCGGGTGCTAGGGGGTTATGCCAGCTTCTTTCCAGGGCCTACCTAGGCTTCTTTCCAGGGCCTACCTAGGCTTCATCCGACGTCCGTTTTTGTCTGTCTTTTTACCGTTGAACTACTACTAATGAGACCTTCGATTCTCGTTTAGGTTATGTCGGCTAAAAACCGCTCGATCTAATATTCGAACTCCAGGCTGCATACTGCTAAGCCGAAATTTAGAAAAATCATAACTTTCTCATACGAAGTCAGATTTGGGCGTTCTTTTTATGCACGCTCTCGGTTTAATGAACACTACGACTTTCGTTTAGATTGATAAGGCTAAAAATTGCTCTATCGTAAATTCACAATATACGTCACGCAGTGTCGTGCCGGTTCTGTCGCGAAACTTCGACAGGCCATAACTTCTTCGTTATAACTCGGATTTCGGTGTTTTTTATATGTACGGAACCCTTTGTGAGATATGCTACAACATTTTCTAAGATAATTCATTCTAAATAGCCCTCTATCAAAAAGTCGTTTTCGACACTTATTGTCTCCAAATTGACTAGCTCGAATCTGCGGGCGTTACAGAAAAGAATGAGGTTGGAGAATTAATTAGTCATCCACTTTATCATAACAAAGATTTGTTTGATTGATTGATTACAACGTATCAAGAGAGACGAAGAAATAAGAAAGAAGGTGAAGTCATAAAAGGAATTCCTCTTACTGAATGTAAATATGGATGTAATACACTTGAATTTTATGCAATTTATCGTGAAGCTCATGAACATGTTCTTGATGATGTTCATCGTGTTCTTGATGTTCAAGAAAAAGGAGTTCAAGTTGATTCTCATGAAGTTGAAAAAGTTTTTTGCTCAATTGGAGTTCAAACCGATGATATTTTGTGTTCTTGTGATTCGTTTGAAGGAATGATTCTTTATCGAAAGCCATTAATCCAAGAAATTCACAAGTATCAAACTCCAAAAGATTTGATTCAAACTTGAAAAGTTGAAGTTGTCAAGAATGAAGTTGTTCTTGAATTCAAATCTTCAAGATACAAAAAGATGAGAACGAAAAAGAAGAAGAAGATCAAACGTAAGAACAAGTGGGTTTATTCACAAAAATCGTCAAATGTTGTGAAGCCAAAATCCATGAAGCAAATTTGGGTTCCAAAGCAACAATCACCAAATGTTGCAAAGAATTTGAATTCAAAACCCAGAACTGTTGATGGTTCTTATGAAGATGGTGTTAGATCGTTGAAGAACATGAAGAACGAGTTGTACAACACGCATCAAGGGTGGTACTGTTAGAAATTATAATATAAGATCTAATCACCACGAATAACGGCTCGGATACAGTTACTGTGTGACAGATATTTATATTAATTAGATATAAAATGCGGAATATAAACAATAATAGTTGCGGAAATAAATATGGGATTATTAGTCACCACTAGAAAGCAGTAAATGACTGAAAGCTATAAATAAAGTAAATAACTGTATTTAAATAACGTTAAGCTGTAAATAATATAAATGACTGTATATAAATGTTAGAAGTTAAATAATATGTATAAATATATATAACGGGTTTAGAACTGGACGGATGAAGCGACTGGTCTTTCAAGTAAGTTCGCCAATAAATTGACTGAACAGGCTTAGGGTTGGACTGGTAACCTAAAAGACTTTGTCACTATTTGTTCAATAGTTCAATCCGGAATATGATAAGTAACACAAAATTCTTTTTGTTTCAAATTTTATGTAAAACAATTTGTTTACATAAGGGTTTGAAGGTTTTCTTAATTTTTGGATATATTTCTCTGGATACCCGATTTTCTCTGGCGTCTCTCTGGAGTTTCCCTTGGTCAAAATCGACCACGAAACTTCCTAGATGTAGGTAAGGTTCTGAATAATTTGTGGTAAAAATCTCTCCAGGGTTTGTTGGATGTATTGTACCCAGTTAGCTTTGTTTCTGACTTGAAGATTCTGATCTGGTGAACCGAAATCTATCTGGATACCCAATTTTGTATATCGTCTCTCTGGGGTTTCCCTTGGTCAAAATCGTCCAGAAAACTTCCTAGATGTAGGTAAGGTTCTGAATAATTTGTGGTAAAAATCTCTCCAGGGTTTGTTGGATGTATTATACCCAGTTACGTTTGTTTTGGACTTGAAGATTCTGATCTGGTCAACAGAAATCTATCTGGATACCCGATTTTGTATATCGTCTCTCTGGGGTTTCCCTTGGTCAAAATCGTCCAGAAAACTTCCTAGATGTAGGTAAGGTTCTGAATAATTTGTGGTAAAAATCTCTCCCGTATTATCTTGTTGAGTTGTGCTCGGTGATTTTTTTCTTAACTTCGAAATTCTGATGTCGAAAAAACAGCAAGGTGGAGATTTTGTGGTGGTTTAAAGGATGTTTGGAGGAGGTTTAAGGAGGGTATTTGGAGGATGTTTGGAGGGTATTTGTAGGATGTTTGGAGGGTATTTGTAGGTTGTTTGGAGTTGTTCTTGGTGTTCTTGGTGTTCTTGGTGTTCTTGATGTTCTTGGTGTTCTTGGTGTTCTTGGTGTTCTTGGTGTTCTTGGTGTTCTTGGTGTTCTTGGTGTTCTTGCTTCAAGGATGAAGATGAAGATGATGTTGAAGAACTTCTTGAAGATGCAGGAGATGTTCTTGGTTGAGAGGTTTTGGTGTATGGAGAGGTTTTTCAAAGTTTATAAGAGGTTATGAATGAAAGAGCACACAACTCTCTTATATACTAACTTACATATACATACACTTTCCATACATACATACAAGTATACATACACACACATAAATATCTAAGATGTATGGATTATTGGCTGTCAAATAAAGAGGTGGAGTAGTAGAAGTCAATTTGGCTTTTGCTTCTTTGATTTGCAAGAGAAGTATTTGGTATAAATACTAGGTATTTGGTATAAATACTTGTATTTTGGAGATGTATCTTTTCTTCACTAGGTATTTGCAAATGAAATACAAATAAATTAATATACATAAATTCAATTAAGATTAATTGAATTTACATAATTAATCCAAATTGTTTTGAAGTTTGACACTTTTAGCCCTTGATTGGTTTTTGTCTTCAAACGTGGTTGACTTTCCGTCTTTGCGTATTTCGCCTTTGCGTATTTTTGTTTAATTACGAATCCATGAAACCTGAAATAACTGATAATATTTGTCAGATTAAATAAATACAGTTCATCTTATTTCAGTGATGGTCACATACAAAAACATTTTTCAACAATTTCCCCCTATGTGATCATTGCTGGAATAAGGACATGTATGTTTTTAAAAGACCGATTATCAATTAACAATTTATCTTTAAGATTTTGGATAAAAGTTTTGTCAATCGATAAGATATATATAAAACCATAGTGATCGATTTGAAAGTTTATGACTTGGTTTGACATATCTTATGTAAAAGATTTTTAGAAATTTGATTCCGAATCAAAGTCTCGGGTTCGGTTATCAAAGAGTAGCCATATATGTATCTAAAGAAATTTCCTTAGATTTTATAGCATTATTAACGACGACAAGTGGTCTAACAGGTCGATTCAGATGAACGCTCATAGGTATAGCTCACACTTCACTTGGGTGTTTGGTTGTTCTGGCAGCAGAACAAGTTAATGATCACTAAAAATGAGTGATATCTCTCTCTGACGACTCACACTCATATTGGAGGTGTTCAGCTATGCTTTTCCTGAAAGGTCACTTAGTCTCATTATTAGATAATCAATCACGTAAGACTGGTTTCG